GACAGTATGCTGTCAAAGTATTGATAGGAAAGGTGATAACATTAACTGCTAGGATTAGCCTGTAAAGAAATTACTGTACGCCGGATGATGAAAGGCCGAGGAGGGAAAACGCAACGAGAACACCCACATGGCGTTCTTAAACAGGTCTGCACGGCGTGGTTCGTTGCATAAACCATAATCCCTGGATTGGCATGACACAATACACGGTTATTTATAAACCACGGTAGCTGGGTTCATGCAGCGAGCCAAGCCATAACTGAACAAGCCATGTTGGCGTTTTGCATCGTGCAAGCATCGAGTCTCAAGGGGATACGGTTCTGACAGCAGCCTCCCGTAACGCAGATATAATGCTGTGATGGAAATAGAGATGGCTACTGCATAGTTATTACTTGTAAAGATAGTTAGTGTCTTTCGCCTCTGCTTGGTCACGGCTGGGGATCTGCTACCAAAGAACACAGGCTGCTTTTTATTTGTTTCTGTTAATTTTCCTACCTCAGTACTGGGCACAGATAGAGCATAAACCAGTTCAGTTTATGGTGTAGATAGGGAGAAAGTATAAACTCCAAAGTTTGTCATACTCCAGATTGGTATGCTTGGTTTCAGGGGACATGTAGACCATGAATGTAAACCCCAATACAGTAAAAACAGCTGGCATAGTCCATTAAAACCACCTTGTTACTACCCATGAAACACTTCTCATGGCTGCAGTAGGCAAAGCTTGAGAACTGTAGATAAATCAGAATATTCTTCTGACTTCATATTGTAATTCCAATCCTGATACCAAGGTAAAGCCAGAAACATGATCTAATCTCAAAGTATCCTCACCAAGTTAAAGCACTTCCTTGTTCCAGGTGCTCTATGTGTTCTAGGGTTCTCTAGCTAATTGTCTCTTGGAAGCATGGATTTGTACTATTTAGCTATTCATTTAGCTTAAATGAATCAAATCAGGCGTCCACCTCCAGAGCCAACCTGTTGCATCCTTTGTTCAACTACACTTAGGTCTATTCACCCTTTGTTCAAGCTTTCCTAAAGTCTGTCCTTTGTGTCCCTAATATAAAGCCTGTAACTGTCCTTCAGTTCAGCCACTCAGCAGGTGTTTTTCGGAGGTTTTCTTGTGATCCATTCCTGGTATCTGCCAATGCCAAATCCATCTTTCAAGGACTGCAGACTTTCTCTTAGGCCTGTACTTCTTTGCCTTGGCCATTGCTGCTTTTGGTTCACTTCCATTTCAGCATCCTTGCTTCATTCCACAGTGACCTCAAAACTGTCAGCCTGGTATGTAGGAGAGAGCTCCTTTCTGCCAGAAAACTGAAGCTGCTGACCTTCTATAGGTTACATGAGTGAAACATGGGTGAATCAAGGCAATATGACTCTGGAGTGGGCTACTCAATTCCCTCTACAATTCCTAGACAATTCCTCCTGTGGTCTAGCTGGGAGTTGAGCCTACTGTGTTACATGAAACCTTGCAACAGGCATCCCCAAGATTTAGCTAGCTAATTTCCTTTCTCTTTCCCCATCTCTGTTAGTTTTCTCTGGGCAATCTAGACTTCAGGAAGATATTGTTTGAGAGCTTCTCTGTCCCAGACTCTGTGTTTGAACTCCCTTATGCATTTGTGTAAAGCTCCAAGCTTCCTAAATAATGTCACCCCAGCCATATCTTCCCCAGCTTCCTCTATAACAGCCAGATTGAAAAAGGCCAGAACATGCTGTGAAAGGAGCTGATTATCTCAAAGGCTGATTGGGATAGCTTGAGCTCTGACTAGCTAGGAAGGAAAGGCTTTCACATTTTCCCTCACTTTAAAACAAAACATTTCACTCTTCCTCTGTTTCTTCCCTTTTCTCCTAATTCTGCTAGATAGTGTATCCATTTTGCTCTCCTCACTGATCCTATTGGATGCTGTTGAAATTCCTGATGCCTGTTGTCTTCTTGAAATTCCCCTTGCCACCAAAATGCTCTTATTCAGTACCTGGTAATTTCTTGGCTCCTTTTCTTGATCTGTCAGGATTATGGTTAGAATAGTCCACAGCAGCATACTAATAAACCATTTGTCTGTGAAAATTGGTGTTAACAACAAAAAAATGAAATTAATTTATCTACTTCTAATAGAAGATAGTGGTGTCCCAGAGCGGTGCGCAACCAGCAGAAGGCAGAGATGGCTGGTATGGGAAGGTCAAGTGAGACATTCATATTTTATCCCACATACCCAAGATTGAAAGGAATGAACTTGTATTAGTTCAATTTGTATGTATTATGGAATACTCCAGGAAAGTGATTATATTTAAACGCTATAATTATATTACCATGATGTCTTTCCCCAAATGGAAATAGCTGTGTCCCAATATCCTGATTGTTCACCCCTTTAATTTTTGTATTTGTTGCAAAACATGGCAGTGTACTTGTGTCTATTGTAAGCAGGGAGAGAGGCATCATGGACACTTGCCATTTAAAAAGAAAAAATGAACTCTAAGCAATTGTTCCTGCACTGAACTTTTGCAACTGAAGAAATCTTGGACTTGAAACAAGCAAAGAGAAAAGGTTGATAAATATTTTTCACATTTGAGAGAAGAGTCTTGTTGCTGGTAGCATCTGGATGATCTTGTCTGATCTCAGAAACTAAATACAGTCATGCTTGGTTAAGAGTTGGATGACTGGGTTAATATTTAGATGGGAGACCACCTAAGGAATACTAGGGCAATAGGCTAGACTTGGAAGTGAAAAAAAAAAAAGATAGATGATGACAGTGACAAATCATTGCCTGGAAAACATCATGGACATGTCCATCAAGTCATCAGAAGTCAAGTGTGACTGAGGGAAACTACCTTATTTTCTTTATGAAGTAGTAAATATATCAGTCCAACAATAGAAGAACTGACTCGAGTGAAGTTGGACACAAGTGCATAACAAATGAGCACTAAATCTGTTGTGTGAACAGCCTTTTAGGAAATGATAGATTTTTTTTTATCCACCCCCATCAAATATTTAACAACCCGTATAGATTTTTATTATAGAAATTAATTTGATGTGATTGTTACATGTGCATGTAGGTTGTCCTTTTTATCTTCTGGAATACCAAGAACACTTTAATTTGCAGGTAGAATGTCTGCAGATGTTGGTCACATACTCCAGCCACCATCAATGATGCATTCATTGCCAGTCATGTATGCTGACTGAAATATAGGGGGGGAAAAAAATAAGAACAAAGTTAGAAAACAAAAAGAAACATGGCATTCAAAAGATAAGTAGCAATTATATAAATACATGTTAAATATTAAAATGCTTCAGAAATGAATTTGATTTCTCATATAATAGTAGGAAACACTTTCTTTCTAGCATTTTTCTTGCAGGTGCAGGGTCTGGTTTTTTGGGATCAACCGAATGTTAATCCTTTTGGTTGCAACAGGAATTGAATGACTGGCCTGATGTCATGGGCTGAGAGAGAGAGTGACTGGCACAAGGTCACCCAACCGGCTTTCATGCCTAAGGCAGGACTAGAACTCATTCTCCTGGCTTCTAGCCTGGAGCCTTAACCAACTAAAACTGGCTCTCCAATAGTAGGAAATGCAGTACTAATAAGATTTATGCCACACATTGATAATGTGGCTTAGTTGGTTTTGAACTTAGTAATGAACTATAGCATCTTTGTAGCATCACCAAATCATCATTGGAGTAAAGTATAGCCTGTCCTCATTACTTTTACTTTGGCACAATGTTAGAAGATGTTACAGGTTTCTATGAAGAAATGATCTCTGTGGGTGTGTGAACCATGGCAACAAATGTTGAATTTGTTGCATAACTTCCACCAGTGGTGGTTTTGAATTATATTTTATTGCTGTATGAACTTAGTCAGTTGTGATTAAACAAACCATGGCTTAGCATGGGTGAACCCCAGCTTCAGAAGGACTGGTTATTTTAACCAATATTGGGATCTGCAATCTTATCTTAAAAGACTCTAGTAATCACAACTGGCTTGAGTCTGGATATCCTCAGATGAGGTACCCTTCAAGAGCATTTCCAGATGCATGGTTCCTAATTCTTCTAGGCAAAAACCCTGTAATCTATTCCATTTTTCTTCCAATATAAGAGAGTTCAGTACTTAGATTCTGATTACATTATGTTTTATTTTAAAGGACTATTTTCCATCTTCTTAGGTGATTTTTGCAACAAACAACTTCAGCTTTCCAGATGTTGCTGAACTGTAGTTCCCACACTCCCCACCATTCACTATGCTAAGAATCTACTAGTTCCTCATCTCCATATCATATCACACATAAAACACATAAAACACAACCTTCACATTCCATATTGCACAACCCCTGATGCTGC